CAATGCTTCAAGAATTTCATTAGAAATACGGCAATGCAGATGCTACAAGAGTTTCTTTCGAAATGCTAGATGAATTTCATTCGAAATCCTACAAGAATTTCATTCGTAATTATACATGAATTTTATTCGGAATTCTGAAACTCTACAAGCATTTATTCAGTAATTTAATTAGAAATTACAAGACGTTCATCAGAAATTCCACCAGAAATTGAATAGAAATTCTACGAGAATTTCATTAGAAACGCTACGAGAATTGAATCAAAATTGGTCGAGATTGTATAAGAATTTAATTCGAAATTCTTCAAGAATTCCATTAGAAATTCTACAAGGTTTTCATTCGAAATTCGACAATATATCCATTAAAAATTCTACTGGAAATTTATTAGAAATTCGTCAATAGTTAGTGTTCCAATGCTGCAAGAATTTCATTCGAAATTCTACAAGATTTTCATTCGAAATTCGACAATATTTCCATTAAATATTCTACTGGAAATTTATTACAAATTCGGCAATAGTTAGTGTTCAAATGCTACAAAAATTCCATTCGAAATTCTACAAGAATTTTAATTGAAATTCTACAGGAAATTCATTCAAACATCTACAAGAAATTCACAATAAATTCGGTAATGGTTCGTGTGCAAATGCTACAAGAATTTCATTTGCAATCCGGCAATAGTTGGTGTGCAAATTCTCCAATAATTTTATTCGAAATTCTACGAGTTCTCCATTCGAAATTTGGCAATAGTTTATGTGCAAAGTCTACAATAAATTCATTCGAAATGCTTCATGAATTTTATTCTTAATCATGCAAGAGTTTCATTCGAAATTATACATGAATAACAATCTAAATTCTACAAGAATTTCATTCGCAGTTCTACAACTCTGAAAGAGTTTCATTCAAAATTCTACAAGCGTTTCATTCATAATTATTCAGCATTTTAATTAGAAATTACAAGACGTTGATCAGAAATTCTACCAGAAGTTGAATAGAAATTCTAGAATTGAATCAAAATTGGTCGAAATTCTACAAAATTTTCATTGAAATTCGACAATATTTCCAATAAAAATTCTACTGGAAACTCATTAGAAATTCGTCAATAGTTAGTGCTACAAGAATTCCATTCGAAATTCTACAAGATTTTCATTCGAAATTCGGCAATATTTCCATTAAATATTCTACTAGAAATTCATTAGAAATTCGGCAACAGTTAGTGTTCAAATTATACAAGAATTCCATTCGAAATTCTACAAGAATTGTAATTGAAATTCTACCTGAAATTCATTCGAACATCTACAAGAAATTCATAATAATTTCGGTAATGGTTCGTGTGCAAATACTACAAGAATGTCATTAGCAATCCGGCAATAGTTAGTATGCAAATTCTACAAAAATTTCATTCGAAATTCTACAAGTGCTCTATTCGAAATTCGGCAATAGTTTATGTGCAAAGTCTACAATAAATTCATTCGAAATGCTTCGTGAATTTTATTCTAAATTATACAAGAGTTTCATTCGAAATTATACATGAATAACAATCTAAATTCTACAAGTATTTCATTCGCAGTTGTGCAACAATTTCATTCGAAATAGATCCAGAATTTAATTCGAAGTTATTCAATAATTTCAGTTGAAATTATTTAAAAATTTAATAGGAAAGTCTACAAGAATTTTATAAGAAATTCCGCTAGAATTTTAATAAAACTTCTATGAGAATTTCGTTACAAATGCTACGAGAATTGAATTGAAATTGTTCGAGATTCTACAAGAATTTAAATCATACAGGAATTCAAATCGAAAATATACAGGAGTTCCATTCGAATTTCTTCCAGTATTCCATTAGAAAGTGTTCAAGAATTTCATTCGAAATTCTACAAACATGTCATTGGAAATTCTACAAGAATTTTGTTGGAAATTCGACAAGATTTTAGTTAGAAATCATTATTGATTCTACAAGAATTTCATTAGAAATTTTAAATAACTCCATTCGAAATTCCACAAGAAATGCATTCGAAATTGCACAAGAATTCCATTCGAAATTGTACAAGAGCCCCATTCGAAATTCTTTAAAAATTTCATTCGAAATTCTACAAGAGTGCCATTCGAAATTCTACAAGAATTTCATTCAGAGTTCTACAATAATTTCAATTCAAACACCTTTAAGTTCACAAGGAATTCGACAATGGTTCTTGTGCAAATGCTACAAGAATATCATTCGCAATTCGGCAATAGTTTGTGTACAATTGCTACAAGAATTTCTTTCGAAATGCTGCATGAATTTCGTTCAAAATTCTACAAGAGTTTAATTCGAAATTCTTTATGAATTTATTTCGAAATTCTACATGAATGTTATTCGAAATTTTACAACAATTTCAGTTGAAATTCTTCAAGAATTTCATTCGAAACTATCCGGGATTCTACAAAAATTTCATTCGAATTCTAAAATAATTCATTTTGAAAATCGAGAATTCCATTCGAAACTCTACTTAAATAATTTCATTCGAATTTCTACATTAATCCCTTTAAAATTTCTACAAGAATTTCATTCGAAACATACAATAATTTCTTTCGAAATTCTTTAAGAATTGTATTCGAACTTCTTTAAAAAAAACATTCGAAATTCTACAATAATTCCATCAGAAATCATTCGAGATTCTACAATAATTCCATCAGAAATCATTCGAGATTCTACAAGATTTCATTCGATATTCTACAATTATCCATTAAAAATTATAAAATAATTTCCTTTATAAATTCTACAAGAATTTTACTTCGAAGTTTTACAAGAATTCCATTCAAAATTCCGTTCAAAGTTCTACAAGTATTCCGTTCAAAATTTTTCGAGAATTCAATTCGAAATTCTACAAGAATTGATTTTAAAATTCTACAGGAAATTCATTCAAACATCTTAGGGAAATTCATTCGAACATCTACAAAGATATTCATTCGAAATTCGGCAATGGTTCGTGTGCAAATGATACAAGATTTTCGTTCGAAATTTGGCAACAGCTCGTGAGCAAATGCTACAAGAATGTTATTCAAAATTCTTAAAAAATCGTTTGAATTTCTTCAAGATTTTCATTCGAAATTCTGCAAGAATTTAATTCAAAACTATTCAAGAAAAAAAATCGTTTGCGATTCTACAAGAATTTTATTTGAAATTCTACAAGTAATCCATTCGAAATTCTGCCAGAATGTCATTAGAAATTCTACAGGAAATTCATTCAGACATCTGCAGGAAATTCACTCAAACATCTACAGGAACTTCTTTTAAACATCTACATGAAATTCATTCACAATTCTTCAAGAATTCCTTTCGAAATTCTACATGAATTGCATTTGAAACCCTACAAGAGTTCCATTCGAAATTTTACTAAAATTGCATTTCAAATTCTAAAAGAATTCCATTCGAAATCGTACAAGAATTTCATTCGAAATTCTTCATGAATTCCATTCGAAATTCCACTAGAATTTCAATAGAAACTCTGCTAGAATTTCAATAGAAAATCTACAAGTATTCCATTGGAAAGTTTTCAAGAATTTAATTAGAATTTCTACAGGAAATTCATTCAAACAGCTACAAGACTTTCAATCTAAATTCGGAAATATTGTGTGTGCAAATTCTTCAAGAATTTAATTCTTAATTCTACAGTAAATTCGTCCAAACATCTACAAGACATTCATTCGAAATTCGGCCACAGTTCGTGAGAAAATGTTACTAATGAGTTTAAATCGAAATTCCTAAAAAATTTAATTTGAAATTTTACAAACATTTCATTCGAGTAAATTGTACAATAATTTGATTCGAAATTCTTCAAAAAATACATTTGAAATTCTTTATGCATTCCATTCGAATTCCTACAAAAATTTCATTCGAAAATCTTCATTGTAAAAATCAGTTTTAGTTAGTTTATCAAAAAAATTCATAATACTTTTATCTGTTTCTCGTCACACAACACTAATCTTTTTAAATTGAATCTCCAGAAAAAAATACAATAAAAAAAAAAATCATTTGTCAAATAACTTTTGAGTGCTACTGTCAGCTTACATTGAGACTTACTGAAAGGTGGATTTCTGATATTTCCTAACGTTCGGAAACCGTAATTTATTTCCTTCTCGCGTCCCTCCCATAGCCGTCCGTTGTAATTTCGAGAGTTTTTCCGCCCTGCAGCCAAAACGGCAAAAACAAATTAAAGATTCATAAATTTCCACTTGAATTTCATTATACCAGTCGACGGTTGTCCGTCCGCCTGTCGCTTCTCGAATGCGGATTGTTGGGCAACTTCCATCCATCCATCCATCCGTCGTCGTCGTCGTCGTCGTGGCGTTTTGGATTCCTAATGCCCACTGCCACCAAACGACCAAACTTCCCAGCCAAATTACCCATCCTCTCCTTTCTTTTTTTCCGCTTCAAGACGTGCTTTGATCTCCACGCCTGCAGCGAAAAAATACTGACAAGTCGAATTTCCTTCGCTTTTCCTCCTAGGAAGACACAGCAACAGCTGACTATGTGAAACGAAATTAGCTTTCCTTGTTAACTTGTTTGCCATATTCATAACAAAGTTTTTCATTGGCAAAATGGCACGATCCTCTCGAACAACGTCCGCCGGGAGTGTGTAAGATTTTAATGGCTTTTCATCCAGCAAATTTTCCTGAACAGTCAGTCAGTTACTTACCGCATACCGGGCTAATAATTAATCCACCGCTTACAACGCTGGGGCTTAATGGCTTCTCCAGCGTTAGGAATCGCTCAATAATCACTCATCCACGTTTGTTTATGTTTGTACTCCACCCTGTGTGTAGATTCAATAATCGCTTTCCGCTCCGACGTTTGCAAAGGCCACTTCGTTTTGTTTACTATACGTACACATCAACTACTCGGCCTACTGCAGGCTGGCACATGTGCGCGGACAAAGTTTTGCTAATTTCGAATGCAAATTCCATTAGGTGCTCATTTGGATTTTCTTTTCTCTGCCCTAACGGGTGTTGTTTACATTCGCAGGACGTTCGTTGATTCACCCTGGACCAACCTGGCGGACGGAACAGGCTAGGGAGTGGCTGGTGGTGGTGCTGCTGCTAGAGCAGCGTCATGGATCACGCGGTTCATGCGGCACGAGGAAGACCATGGAACAAACTGCGCTTCGAAAACAACGAGCTGGAATGTCTCTACCAGCGGTACACCCTCAAACTGCAACGGTTCTCCGTGACCGGAGTCGTTGCCCTAGTCGTGGTCCTGTGCGGCGTCATGGCCGGACTCAGCCTCGGCTACAACCGGGCACCGACGTTACATGTAAGTGCTGACGGTACTGTTAGAATTAATAGCAATCTACAATGATTTCCTTCTCTTCCAGAACGTCTTTAACTCGTTCCTGTGCCTGCTGTCTGCTGTCGTGCTGGTGTTGCTTCAGTTCCGCTTCCTACGGGACTCGCATCTGCCTTACCTGTGCTATGGCATTCTGTTCTTCACGGCTGCCTTCTGCTTCATCTCGATGCCCACGGTCGGGATTGTGTTCCCCGTCGATACCCGGGAGGTGATGGCCGAAGGCGTTTGGCAGATTGTGTTTGTGGTGTTTCTGGCCTATGCCATGATGCCGCTGCAGATCTGGGAAGCGGTCCTGTTCGGCATCATCCTGCCGTCGATACACGTCGGCCTGACCGGGTACAATATCTACAATGAGAACTTCCAGTACCTGGCGTATCAGCAGGTAAGTTTGATGAGTTGGGTTTGTTTAACGTTGATCTTTTAAAGAGTAAGAATTTGTAATGAAATTCTTTTAGACTCTGTTTGAAAACCTACAAAAATTCTACCTGCATTTAATTCAAAATTCTTCTATTAGAATAAGTTTCGAAATTTTTCCAGAATTCCATTTGAAATTCTACGAGAATTTCTATCAAAATTCTTCGAGAATTTCTTCCGAAATTCTTCAAAAATTTCTTTTTAAATTCTACGAGAATTTCATTCGAATTTCTACAAGAATTTTATTCAAAATTATACAAAAATTCGAAATTCTTCAAGAATTTCTTTTTTATAATTCTTCAAGAATTGCTTTTGAAATTCTACAAGAATTTCTTTCAAAATCCTACAAGAATTTCTTTCACAATTCTACAAGAGTTTCTTTCGAAATTCTGCGAGAATTTTTTTCGAAATTCTGCGAGAATTTCTTTCGAAATGCCACGAGATTTTTTTCAAAATTCGATGCGAGTTTTTTTTCGAAATTCTTCGAGAATTTCTTTTTAAATTTTACAAGAATTTCTTTTGCAATTAGACAAGATTTTTTTGTTGAAACAATTCCAAAATTTCTTTCAAAATTATAAATGATTTTATTTAATTCTAAAACAATTGATTTTGTAATTCTACAAAAATTTATAACGTAATTCTATCAAAATTCTACAAGACTTTCATTCGGAATTCAACGAAAATGACTTTCAAATATGTTCAAGAATTTATTTCGGAATTCAACGAAAATTTCTGTTGAAATCCTACAGAACATTCTTTCATACTACCATAATTTGTTTCGTTATTCTACTGCAAATCTGTTCGAATTTCTACAAGAATTGTTTTTGAAATTCTTCTAGCATTTTATTCGAAATGCAACTAGAATTGTATTCGAAATTCTCCAAGAATTTCTTTTGAAATTATACGAAAATTTTATTTTTTAAATCTACAAGAATTTCTTTGCAAATTCTAAAAGAATTACTTTTGAAATTCTACCTGAATTTATTTCGAAATTCTACCCTAATTTCTTTCGAAATTCTACCCGAATTTCTTTGGAAGTTCTACAAGAATTTCTTTCGAAATTCCAAGCGAAATCCTACATGATTTTCTTTCAAAATTCTACGAACATTTTCTGTCAAAGTTCTACGAGAATTTTTACATGAATTTCTTTTCAAATTCTACAAGAATTTCTTTCGAAATTTTACAAGAATTTCCTTAGAATTTTCTTAGAAATTTAACAAGCATTTCTTTCTAAATTATACTGGATTTTTTTAGAAATTCTACAAGAATTTCTGTCGCAATTCTACGAGAATTTCTTTCGAATTTCTACGAGAATTTATTTTTGAAATTCTACCAGAGTTTCTTTCGAAATACCACAAGTTTTGTTTTTCGAAATTCTTCAATAATTTTGTTTGAACTTCTACGGGACTTTCTTTAGAAATCTTACAAAAATTTATATCGAAGAATTTGTTTTAAAATTCGACTAGGATTTCTGTTGAAGTTCTATAAAAATTTCTTTTGAAATTCTACAAGAATGGATATCGAAATAATTTGAAAATTGCGTTCAAAATTATGCAATATGTCTTTTGCAAAATTCCGTTATAATTTCTTTCGAAATTCTGCAGGAATTTATATCGAAATTATGTAAAAATGTTTATTTAATTCTACACAAATATCTTTTAAAATTATACAAGTTTTTTATTTTCAAAATTATTCAAGAACTTTTTGTGCGATTCTGCGAGAATTTCTTTTCGAATTCTTCAAGAATTTATCTCGAATCTACAAAAAATTCTGTTGAAATTGTGAATTAATTTCTTTCCAAATTATTCGTGAATTTCTTTTGAAATTCCAAAACAATGACTTTCGATGTTTCTATTGAAATTCACCTAGAATATCTTTTGAAAATAACGGCGCCGGTGGTGTAGTGGTAAGCGTGATTACCTCTCACCCCAGCAGGCCTGGGTTCAATCCCAGCCGGCGCCGCCGGGATGTTCTGAGGCATAACATCTCTGATCACCGGTTCATGAGTTGATGGGTCGATAGGTAGGGTCCAGGTGTGGGAGCTGCCTTCCTGGCACATCGGTAGCATTGGTGCTCAGCACGGAAAACAAGATCGACGGAAAAAACAAATCAAAGGAAAAAAAAAATCTTTTGAAATTCTACAAGAAATAAGTTCGAAATTATTCAAGAATGTATATAATACAAGAATTGATTTCGAAATTATACAGGAATTTCTTTCGAAATTAAGAATGTCTTTCGAAATAAAGAACTGCTTTCGAAATAAAGAATTTCTTTGGAAATTAACTATTTTGTTTCGAAATTCAACAAGACTTTCTTTTGAAATTAATTCAAAATGTTATTTCGAAATTCTACAAGAATTGATTCAAAATTCTTCAAGAATTCATTTCGAGCTTCTACAAGAATTTATTTCGAAATTCTTAAAGAATTTATTTTGAAATTGTGCAAGAATTTCTCTCAAAATTTTACGAGATTTTTTTTTTAAATTCTACAAGAATTTCTTTCAAAATTCGAAAAGAATTTCGTTTGAAAATTGACAAGAATTTCTTTCGAATTTTGACAAGAATTTTTTCTAACATCTACAAAAATTTCATTTGAAATTCTACAAGAACTTCTTTCGAGATTCTACAAGAATTTCTTTCAAAATTCTACAAGAATTTCTTTCAAAATTCTACAAGAGTTTCTTTCAAAATTCTACAAGAATTTCGTTCGAAATTATATAGGCATTTAATTCGAAGTACTGCAAAAATTTATATCGAAATACTAAAAGAATATTTTCGAAATTTGCCTACATTTTCTTTTTTAATTCTTCAAGAATATTTTTCGAAATTTGAGAAGAATTTCTTGCAAAACTACAAGAATTTTTTAGAAATTATGCAGGAATTTCTTTTGAAATTATGCAGGAATTTCTTTTGAAATTATGCAGGAATTTCTTTCGAAATTATGAATATCTTTCGAAATATACAGCTGCTTTCGAAATAAAGAATTTCTTTGGAAATAAAGTTTTTTTTTTCGAAATTCAACAAGACTTTTGAAATTAATTCAAAATGTTATTTCGAAATTCTACAAGAATTGATGTTGAAATTCTTCAAGAATTTATTTCGAACTTCTACAAGAATTTATATCGAAATTCTTAAATAATTTATTTTCAAATTCTGCAAGAATTTCTCTAGACATTGTAGGAGGTTTTTTTTCGAAATTCTTAAGAATTTTTTTTTCTAATTTCGAGAAGAATTTCGTTTGAAATTTGACAAGAATTCCTTTTGATTTTTTTCTAACATCTACAAAAAATTCATTCGAAATTCTATAAGAACTTCTTTTGAGATTCTACAAGAATTTCTGTCTAAATTCTACAAAAAATTTCTTTCGAAATTATATAGGAATTCATTTCGAAATACTGCAAGAATATTTTGAAATTCGCCTACATTTTCTATTTTAATTCTTCAAGAATATGTATTGATCGAAAATCGATCAGAATTTCTTCGAAGTAATGAATTTCTTTCGAAACTCTACAAGAATTTCTTTCGAAATTCAATACGATTTTTTTTAAACTATCCAAGCAGTCATTTTGAAATTCTTCAAGAATTTATTTCGAAATCCTACAACAATTTATTTCGAAATTCTACAAGAATTCCTATGAGAATCTCTTTTGAAATTCGACAAGATTTCGTTCGAAATTCTACAAGAATTTCTTTGAAAATTCAGAAAGATTTTTTTTCTTCGAAATTTGACCAAAATTTCATTCGAACAGCTACAAGAATTTCATTCGATACAGGAATCATACAGGAATTTCTTTCAAAATTAAGAATATCGTTCGAAATAAAGAACTGCTTTCGAAATAAAGAATTTCTTTGGAAATAAAGTTTTTTTTCGAAATTCGACTAGACTTTCTTTTGATATTCACCAAAAATTTATTTCGAAATTCTACAAGAATTGATTTCGAAATTCTTCAAGAATTTATTTCGAACTTCTACAAGAATGTATTTCGTAATTCTAAAAGAATTTATTTTGAAATTCTGCAAGAATTTCTCTCGATATTTTAGGATAATTGCTTTCGAAATTCTTGTAGAATTTCTTTCGAATTTCGAAAAGAATTTCGTTTGAAATTTGACAAAAATTTCTTTCGAATTTTCACAAGATTTTTTTTCTAACATCTACAAAAATTTCATTCGAAATTCTATAAGAACTTCTTTCGAGAATTACAAGAATTTCTGTCAAAATTCTACAAAAAATTTCTTTCGAATTTATATAGGAATTCATTTCGAAATACTACAAGAATATTTTCGGAATTCGCCTACATTTTCTATTTTAAATCTTCAAGAATATCTATCTATCGAAAATCTATCAGAATTTCTTTCGAAGTAAGTAATTTCTTTCGAAATTCAACACGAATATTTTTTTTTTTATTATCCAAGAATTTATATCGAAATTCTACAAGAATTTCTATGAGAATCTCTTTTGAAATTCGATAAGATTTTCGTTCGAAATTCTACAAGAGTTTCTTTAAAAATTCAGAAAGATTTTTTTCTTCGAAATTTGACCAAAATTTCATTCGAAAAGCTACAATAATTTCATTCGAAAATATACAAGAATTTCTTTCAATTTTCCAGAAGATTTTTTTTTTGAACAACTATAATATTGTTTTTAGAAATTATTCTACAATTTCTTTTGGAATTCTTCAAGAATTTCTTTCGAAATGTTATGAGAAATTCTATAAGAATATCTTACGAAATGCTCCTAGAATATCTTTCTAAATTAAACAAGGTATTTTTTCTCAATTCTTCAGGAACTTTTTGTGGAACTCTACGAAAATTTCTTTTGAAATTCTAAATTTCTTCGAGAGTTTCCTTCTGAATTCTTCTAGAATTGATCTTGAAATTCTGCAAGAATGTATTTCGAAATTCTACAAGAATGTGTAGAATTCTGCAGGAATCGATTTCGAAAATCTTAAAGAATTTCTTTGAAGTTTTACAAGAATTTCTGTGAAATCCTTCAATAATTTCTGTGAAATTCTACAAGAATATCCTTTGAAATTCTACGAGAATTTATTTCGAAAATCTACGATAATTTCATTTGATATTCTTATATAAGAATTTCTATTGAAATTCCATGAGAACTTCTTTTGGAATTTTACAAAAAATTTGTTTCGAAATTCTATAAGAACATGAAATTCTAAATTTCTTCGAGAGTTTCTTTCTGAATTCTTCAAGAATTTATCTTGAAATTCTATAACAATGTATTTCGAAATTCTGCAAGAATGTATTTTGAAATTCTACAAGAATGTCTTTCGAAATTTTACAAGAATTTTGGAAATTCTGCAGGAATCGATTTCGAAAATCTTAAAGAATTTCTGTGAAATTTTACAAGAATTTCTGTGAAATTCTACAAGAATTTTTGTGAAATTCTACAAGAATATGGTTTGAAATTATACGAGAATTTCATTTGATATTCTTATATAAGAATTTCTCGAGGGGGGCGACTCTATCTAAGATGCAGGAATTGCTTTGCTTTGCTGTTGTGTGATGCGTGCGCGCTTAATAGATAGAGAGAAGATTGATGAGGATTTTGAAGATTTCCTGCAAAAAGGTGGAGAGCGATGTGAGTAGATGAACTTAGATGCAAGAGATGAAAAAAAGATTTTTTTGTGGATTGATTCGCTAGCGTGAGATTTTTCGATCATCAAAAATTGGGATTTCGATGTGTCGCACCCCTCGGAATTTCTATTGAAATTCTATGAGAATTTCTTTCGAAATTTTACAAAAATTTGTTTCGAAATTCTATTAGATCATAAAATTCTAAATTTCTTCGAGAATTTCTTTCTGAATTCTTCATGAATTTATCTTGAAATTCTACAACAATGTGTTTCGAAATTTCTTTTGAAATTCTGCAAGAATGTATTTTGAAATTCTACAAGATTAATTTTGAAAATCTTAAAGAATTTCTGTGAAATATATCAAGAATTTCTGTGAAATTCTACAAAAATTTCTGTGAAATTCTACAAGAATTTCTTTGAAATTCTACAAGAATTTCTGTGAAATTCTACAAGAATATCGTTTGAAATTCTACGAGAATTTATTTCGAAAGTCTACGAGAATTTATTTCGAAAATCTACTAGAGTTTCATTTGATATTCTTATATAAGAATTTCTATTGAAATTCTATGAGAATTTCTTTCGAAATTTTACAAAAATTAGTTTCGAAATTTTGCAAAAAAATGTTTCGGAATTCTATAAGAATTTCTATCTTAATTTTGCAAGAATGTCAATCAAAATTCTATAAGAATATATCGAAATTCTTTAAGAATTTCATTCGAAATTCTATTAAAAATTCATTCGAAATTCCATGAGAATTTTGATCGAAATTCTACAAGAATTTTGATCGAAACTCTACAAGAATTTCATTCGAAATTCTATATGAATTTCTTTCGAAGTTCTACAAGAATTTCATTCGAAATTCGACAGAATTTCTTTCGAAATTCTGCATGAATTTCTTTCGAAATTCTACAGCATTTCTTTCAAAATTCTACAAGCATTTCTTTCGAAATTTTACAAGAGTTTCTTTTAAAATGCTACAAGAATTACTTTCAAAATTCTACAAGAATTTATTTCGAAACTCTGCTAAAATTTAAATAGAAGTTTTACAGAAAGTCTATTTAAACATCTCCATGAATTTCTTCCAAAATTTTACAAAAATTTCTTTCGAAATCCTACAAGAATTTCTTTCAAAGGGTGCTTTCGAAATTCGACGAGAATTTAATTTTAATTTTAGTGAGAATTTATTTTGGTATTCTTCCTGAGTTTCTTCTAAATTGCTACAAGTATTTTTTTTTTTGAAATTTTATGAGATTTTCTTTTGAAATTCTACGAGAATTTATCTTGAAATTCAATAAGATTTTCGTTCAAAATTCTTCAAGAGTCCTTTTAAAAATGTACTGGAATTTCTTTCCAAAATTGAGAAAAATTTCTTTCAAAATTCTACAAGAATTTCATTTGCAATTATTTCAAACATTTCTTACGATATTCAACAAGAAAATCGTCCGAATTTTTGCAAAAATTTAATTTTAATTTCTTCTTGAATTTTATTTGGATTTCTTCAATAAATTCATTACCGTTTTTTAAAAGAATTTCTACAAGAATTTCGTTCGAATTTCTACAAAAATTGCATTCGAATTTCTACAAGAATTTCATTGCGATTTCGACAAGAATTTCATTGAAGAAGGATTTCATTAGAATATTTCGAATGTTAATCTCGTTGAATTCATAATTTATTACTTTCGCGATTCTGCAATAATTACTGTCGTGTTACTACGATACAATAATTACGATTCTACAAGAATTACTATCGTCAACAAGAATTACTATCGTAATTCTACAAGAGTTACTTTCGTTATTCTTCAAGAATTACTATCGTAATTCTACAAGAATTCCCTTCAAAATTCTACAATTATCACTCTCGTAATTGTACAAGAATTCACAATCAATTTGTCAGAAAACACCAACATTGTCATCCTAAAGATCTGAATCACTAATCCCCTTTCCCAATTCTCCCACCCGCCAACAGCTCGCGGCCAACATTGTCATCTTCGTGGGCGTCAACGTGGCCGGTCTGGTGGTGAACGTCATGATGGAGCGGGCCCAGCGGCGAGCTTTCCTGGACACCCGCAATTGCATCGCCGCCCGGCTGGAAATGGAGGATGAAAACGAGAAGCTGGAACGGTTGCTCCTTTCGGTTCTGCCGCAGCACGTGGCCATGGAGATGAAGAACGACATCCTGTCGCCGGTGGAGGGCCAGTTCCACAAGATCTACATCCAGAAGCACGAGAACGTTAGCATACTGTTTGCGGACATCGTTGGCTTTACGGTGCTGGCTTCGCAGTGCAGTGCCCAGGAATTGGTGCGGTTGCTGAACGAGCTGTTCGGGAGGTTCGATCAGCTGGCGCACGATAACCACTGTTTGCGCATTAAGATCCTGGGGGATTGCTACTACTGTGTGTCGGGTATTCCGGATCCGAGGGCGGATCATGCTCGGTGTGCGGTCGAGATGGGTCTGGATATGATCGATGCGATCGCTTCGGTGGTTGAGCAGACGGATGTGATTCTAAACATGAGGGTGGGGATTCACTCAGGCCGGGTGTTGTGCGGTGTTCTGGGACTTCGCAAGTGGCAGTTCGATGTGTGGTCCAACGATGTGACGTTGGCAAATCACATGGAAAGTGGCGGTGAAGCGGGGCGGGTTCATGTGACCAGAGCGACGCTGGATGCTCTGGGAGGGGAGTACGAGGTAGAAGCAGGTCACGGTGAAACGCGGGATTCGTATCTTCGGGATCATCAAATGGATACGTACTTTATTGTACCACCGGCCCACCGGAGAAAGGTAACTGAAAGATAGAGGATAACCATGTGACTGTCCCTGTATGACATGACCTAACCTTCTCCGATTGTCGCTAATATTTATTCCCCAACTCCATCCCCGCATTCCTTGTTTATCGATGTGGATTGAATATGTCCGCACCCATCCCAGTGTATCTGTCTGTAAACTAATCCATTATCTTTTCGTACATTCTTTCTTTCTCCTGAAAATCGTCGCATTGACCGTCGTCGTCGTCGTCGTGATGGTGCTCGTCCTGCCTGTAATCCTACTCGGTTGCATAACCGTGTTACCAACTATTGCCATCATCACCACCGTCATCGCCGTTACAATCTTCCATGTCACACCACAAACGAAAACAAAATCCCGCCCGTTCCATGTGCCTTCTTCTTCATCGTCATCACCCAACTATCGCCGTGTGAATGTTTGTAACCACCTCCCCCACTGACCCACCCCCACTGGCAATGGCTCAGCCCCTGATGCTGAACACGCTCGGGGTTCGCTCGGCGCTGGGGGCGGCCAACCGGCGGAAGCTCTCGTTCCGGAACGTGTCCAACGTCGTGGTCCAGCTGCTGCACACCATCAAGTACTCGGTGCCGGTGCCATTTTCGCACATGGCCACCGGTGGGTCACCCTATCCGGGCACTGGCAGCGGAGGCAGTGGACCGGCCGGTGGCCCCGGCGGCGGAATGTTTCTCGATAAGAACGCTCGAAAGGTAAGTGTGTTTTCCTTAGTCGGCGATATTTTAGCAGCTTCTTATTCAGACCTATTAGAGAGGTTAGAGCTTTTGTAGCCATATAGAGCAGCCAGCAGCGCGCACAATATTGTCCTTTTTGATTGCTTCAAGCTTTTCGATGTTGTTCCTATGATTAGTTTGGCTCGCGAGGGTCCAGAAACGATTGGCATGATGCATACATTGGGTATTAGTTCTCTCAGAAGAAATTTCTAGTGGAAACGCTGTTGAAAGGATACACTTTTAGGCACTTTTTAGCTAGCAGAAACCCACCAGAGGTGACGACTCTATTGTATATTATTTCGTTTTTCTTTCTTCTTTTCTTCTTCTTTTCCTCTCTTGTATATTTTCATAATTTTGATTACAATTGAATCAATCTTCCTAGGATCCGGTAAGTAGTTCCCCACTTTTGCTAACGTCCCCCAGGAACGAATGGTAATTTGCTAGAGGGAACAGAGGTGTTTGTAAATTTTTCACAAAGCAACCGGCTGCGAACGCTTTCGATGTTGTTGTTGTTGTTGTTGTTGTTGTTGTTGCAAATGAGATGTGGTTGGTCGCAGCGGCAGGCGCTGCGATCTGTGGGCAATCTCCGTGGTAACTGTTGTAAATTCACTGTATAACAGAGATCGGTTGATGTTTGATAAAAAAATAAAGGGTCGGGAAGGGATTATGCATTTGGTGAGAAATTTTCGGTCATACACACACATTCACATACATACAAACACAGAGTTAGGTAATAATTGTTGCTGAAACCGATTCATTCTTGGAATTTGTGGATTCCTTGACAACTCGAGTTCTTTTTCTTCTTTTGTCAACGAGCCAATGCAAACACCAGATTGACCAGTGTTGCCGGGCGTTGCCATGATATTTCTGTAAATCCGGGATACAGGGAAAAGCTGCTTTTATCCGGTCGACTGAAATTCGCTGCTGTTTCCCAGAAATGAGTACGTCGAAAAACTTATCATCTCGTCGAATAACTTTGATAATGGTGCTGCAATGATCGCTACACAGAATACACTCGTGCAATGCGTACATGTTTTCAGATTGGCGCAGATTGCCCCTGGAGTCTAGTATTTTGTGGTTTTATATTGTCGAACGTACGGTGAAGCATCTGGGCAAACTCTGATCGGTCAGGTATACTGAAAAAAATTACCAGCGATCCTTAAAGCGATGACAACAAATCAAGAAGACTGGCAACTTTGCCAGAATCCAAGCGACAGATGTAATCTTTGCTATCAAATTCGTTCGAAGCATTTACCTTTGAGCGGCAGATGACGCGATTGTACCTGTCTCATAGCGTTTGTATGAGAAAATGGAAGAGTTGCCAGTCTGTTGTCTTCGCTTAAAGCTTGTGGCGAATATGGTGAACTCCTAGCTTTCGCGTCAGCTCTTGGAAAAATCTCAAACTCAAATTGTATTCCCTGGTTGGTTGTCAGGTTTTCTGGGACACCGAATCTTGCTTTCCAAGTCGAGTACAGTGCTTGAGCCACTGATGGTGCTGCCATATCTACAAGAGGAACAGCTTCGTGTCACCTAGTAAAACGATTAATCATGGTCAGTAGGTAGCGATATCCTTGACGGCAAAGGTCCAACTAGATCAATATATAGGACCGACACTGTGTACTCCTTGGGGGATCAAGTAATTGTAGGTGTTGGAAATTGTGAAGTTCGGTCATTCACTGAGGAATCCGGTTGCAGGTTTTGCCAGCCATTTACCCAAGCGTCCACACGCGATGACGGTTCGATGAGAAAGAGGAAGAGAGACGATCGCTGCGTGCTCTCGTCGTCTCCCGTCACGTCTGCTGAGGAGTGCGCAGGGTTATGTTCGCAGTAGGTAGCGGGCGGCTAGCATCTCTATTCGGGGGGTAATCAGGTCAAATTGTCCCAACAGAGAGACGGTATGTCCATAGAAGTAACTCTAAGACTAGTAGGTCTCGAAAAAACGTGCTCAACTTTTTGGTTCAGCTCTGGTACTCTCTTCGGTCCCAAGCTCATCGATGCACCCCTCGAAACATAGGAAAATCCACGAACCTCTCATTTTATCTGTCAAACTTTCATAGCGAATCAAAACAAACATAGTGTAGTACTAGAATTTCGACTAGAATGGGGTACGTTAATCGATTTACTTGGGACCAATAGGCTAGTCAAGAAGTGAGCCAATTGAAAATCGTTATTTTCCACCGGTTGGTATGTCGATGAACCTTCGATCTTTGGCAGCCCTCCAAGGGGTGGTCACTCTACACTCTTATTTTGCGCCAATATTTTTCTCAGTGTGCTTCAAGTGTGCCACGCTGTGCCGGGAGTGCCAGTCATAGAACTGACTTTGTTTGTGAATAATTGTATATTTGGGAACCCGGTATTTTGACAGTTTAAATGTTTTGCAGGGTGGCCAGCGAATTTTCATTTTGAAATTACCGGTTTTCCCGGTTTAAATCTTAAAAATTTCCCGGTTGTTAATACTCAACAAAAAGCTGGAAGGAATTTACTGAAAGGATAAAAAAAAAATGTGATTTATGAAGATTTCCAAGATTCTGGAGCTTTGAAACTTGTGTAGAGTCTGAAACTAGAACTTTTCTTCAAAATGTGTGATTAATAACAATCTTCGTGATGCAAGATTTGGAGAAAAATTAAAAATAATTAAAATGTGAGATTTTGAAACAATTTCAAGATTACAGGTTTGAAAAAAAAAACTTATGAGTCGTGCAGTCATAATTGTCACGCTCTGAGACTTGGAAGCATTTCAAGGGTTATAACAAATTACAGAACAATCTATAGAATCTTGCGGACAAAGCTTGGTATTTTTAGTAAAATTTAAAAGAATTCAAACTGTTGATTTCGAACAAATATTGAGAAGGATTCTCACACAGTTTTCGAAGGAGAAGCTCTGAGCAGAAGTTCAGAATTTGAGGCCTTAGAAATTGTTAGATGAATTTGAGGGATTTCTGTGGAGAAGAATGGTAGAATAGTGACAGAAATTCTTTAAAATACTCCAAAGCGTTTCTAAATAAAATTTCGAAAGATTTCTGATGTTGAATAGAGTTAAAAGAAATTTTTGAAAAGTTTTTCAAAGGAATCAAAGTCTCCGAATAGGTTCAAGGGAATTCTAAAAAGGAATCCAATTAAATTCTTAGAAGGGGTTTCAAGTAAATTCCAAAAATAATTCAACAGTAATTATTACGCGTAGTGTTTCTGGTAAATTTCAAAAGAATTCCATGATATTCAAAGCAGAATTCCAAGTTTATTCTGGAATTCATATCATGAGAATTTTGAACAACGAAAAATTAAAACCCTGGAAAAGAATAATTCAGTTTCGGATTTTAACAAATATTTGTTTCCAAAGTCCAGCATCTTCAATATTTTCTTTTAAGGACCATGTACTTTACATCTGAAATCGAAACGACAAAAATCAATTTGCAATATTGCTGAGTGATAAAATTTTCAAAACAATAAGACGGGAAATTGAAGAAAATTATGCAGCAAATAGAGCAAGACATTCATTTGGTAAAGTATCAATCTGTTTTAATGGTTTATTCTGAAATTCTGGTATAAAAAATTGTTCTTATGGTATAGTTAATTTATTTTTCCCGGTTCTCTCGTCGAATTCCCGGGTTTTTCCCGGTTTTCCCGGATACTTTTCAAATTCCCGGATATTTCCCGGTATTCCCGGTTTTCCCGGTTTGCTGGCCACCCTGGTTTTGTATTGCTTGCCGAAATCGAGCGATAGGAATATCGTACATGTTGATGTTCTTCGAAAACCCATTCGTGGTCATTGAGAAAGTCCTGCAATCCGAACTGATGATTCCGCAAGAAATCAGCGAAGAATTAGAGAGTTTTGCTTTCGCCGTTGGACAAGAATCCTAAAACTCGGATCACCATCCAGGAGCTACTGGAGACGGAATGGATGACGCAGGAAATCAATTCGTCACAGTTCAATTTGACCAAAATCACCCCCGCGAACCGCACGAAACCAATCTGGAGAAGTACTAGCTAGATGCGAATATCTGCTCTAGCCAGACGGGACTGTCCACATCGCCGCATAGCCTTTCGATAGTGAAGATAACGAAGAGCATGCCCACATGGATGATTTTTCGATGAACCTCGATGAGATGCTGGGCAGTGGTAGTGGATTCATTTTGTTCCACGCCTCTTCCAAACTGGTACAGATGGTCGATTCAAGAGCTGTGTGAATCATTTAGGAAATAAATATGTTTTATGGAATATGTTTACATAGGTACTTACTTGCAGGCAGTCTCTTCTCATTCTGAATTACTTTAATCTGCTCCATAGTAATGTTCGGTACGGCCCAAATATTGATGATGAACCCTTCGGAATCACCTCTCAGGAGATAAAGCTCGATTCAAAGTAAATCTGGACGCACGGTTTAATACACCACCGCGCCCCTGGTGGTTGGAACAAAAAACGTTTGACAGGCATTTGTTGATGTTTCATTGACAAAGAAATTGGTGAAAACTTTTTCTCGATTGATCAACGCATCCCGAAATTACGGATCATGGAACTTGGGAAAAGAAAATTAATTGTGCACATCTAGAGAACCCTTCGTGGTCTGCCTCAAAAATAGCTAAAGTGTTAAAATTCCCAAAGTCAACGGTGAGCCTTGTAATCAAACGTTACATTACGCACAGCACATCTATCATAAAAGTGGCATTAGGGACAAAGAGCTGGAGGAGCAAGGTGTTGAGGTACGTGAAACCCAGGTGTCTCCATACGTGATTTGGCAAAGAAATACGATTCCAACTTTTCCACCGTGCGTATCATCCTTTCAAGAGAAGGATAAAAGTCTTTTTGTGCCAGTAAACATCCGAATCGCTCCCTGAAACAAAATTTAGTGGCCAAAAAGCGAGCACGATTACCATACGAACGAGGTTTGACTGAAATTTGATGGCTGTATTTTAATGGATGACGAAACATGTGTCAATATGGATTATAAACAAATCCTCGGACGAAAATTTTACCTGCCAACAGGTCGT